GCTGTTATTAGGGGCCCAGTCTCTGCTTAGGCTTTTCTGCAGAGCCTGGTTGCTTGTGAGTACTGGGTGTTGATATTCAATGCTGTTATTAGGGGCCCAGTCTCTGCTTAGGCTTTTCTGCAGAGCTTGGTTGCTTGCGAGTACTGGGTGTTGATATTCAATGCTGTTATTAGGGGTTGTGTTGCTTTGAGTAGCTATTTAAATAATATAATTGTAGTCTCCTTGTGTTTACATAAAAAAAAAAGCTAAATGTGATAATGCTACAGAAGAAAGGCAATATAAGAGAGAATCCCTTATGTTATGTCTTTAAAGCACATCTTTAAGGTATTACTTTCAAATACTAAATGGACAAATAAAGTAAACAGAGTGCAGGTGAGGAGTCCGGATACAAGTCAAGGGCTCATGAGCTGCACCACTGTAACCACCTAATAGGGAGCTCCAATGACGGGGTAACCTTCCAAAATATGTACCTACTAATATGTACCTCATATTACCTACTTTCAAATACTGTGAGCCATAGAAAATAATGTGTTATTCTCACGAATACCACTAGATGTCACTGCTGTGTACAAGTTACTGATTAGCCATTTTCCAAATTTAGGCATGACACATTATTAGGCAGGGAATATATTATTGAAGCAATGAACGTAGTGTTTAAAACAGCACATTGATATTAATCATGGTAGGGCAGATATTATTATTGTATCTGAGCATGTATTGCAGATTTTTTTATATGTAATTTTAATCAATCAGATCCTGAAAATATCTGACAATCTTTACTTCAACAATAAACTGATAACATTTACAACATTTACAAAGTTCAATACATTAAACTGCATATTTGTCATAAACAAGTTTGTAATAAGTAATTGTTTTAAAAAAAAAAAAAAAAAGTTAGCAGAGGATGGTTTCGATCCATCGACCTCTGGGTTATGGGCCCAGCACGCTTCCGCTGCGCCACTCTGCTGACATAATGCTAAGACAGTGTTAATGTGTTTACAATGAGCATAAGGATATTGTCTGATCTTTATCGTACTTCTATAGAATCATTTAATGTATTCTTTATGTAATCCATGTGTCTGCTTCCTTGCCTATAGTTACTATAGGCATGCAGTCTCTTCTTACCGTTATAGGTGACCATCAGTCAGAATATATGCAGTATGTTGGCTAATCATGCACTCATATATGCCTTGCTCTTCTGTGTGTACAGCTGTAAATCACCTGAGTTTCCAGTGAATATGTAAAAGATAGGGATAAAACAATAGATGCGGTAAATGTTGTAGTTTGGACACAAATTTATATGTACGTATTTATAGTCATATTTTATTTTATGTTACTGTAGGTCAGCCGAGAACTGGGTAACCCTCACATATCCGGTATGCAGGGCCAGCCCAAGACATTGTGCTTCCTGGGTCCAAGGATGAAATGCTAACCCACTCTCACGAAAACCCCACCCACAAAAACATGTCCTCATCCATTATGTCCTGGAGTGTGTATAGTATGCAGTCAGTGGCATGCCTACCACAGTCACAAGGGTCGCAGCTCCAGGGTGCTCTCCGCAGCTGTGACCCCTGCGACCGTGGGCCACCGTCATAACATCAGGGCCGATGCCAGGGACCTGATGGGCTGCCGGCTGACGGGCATGAAGAGGCGCAATGCACAGCGCTCCCCTCTTGCTGGTCACAGAATGTAGCATGACCGAGCAGACTGCGGTCTAACAGGAAGTGCTCCCAGTGACAGTACTTCCTGTTAGATCAGGTACCGTTGGCAGCTCGGAGTTGAGCAGGTATAAGAGGGGGGTTGTGGAGAGATACATGCAGGGCTTGGGGGATCTAGGCAAATAAGAAATGGAGGGGTGTGGCGGATGAGATACATGAGGACTTGGGGGGGAATGAGACACATGGGGGGATGAGATACATGGGGGAATGATGGAATGAGACACATGGAGGGAGTGCAGGGGGGAATGAGATGCCTTTGGGGGACAATGAGACACATGGAGGCTCTGGAGGAAATGAGACATATGGAGGAGCTGGGAGGGAGAATGAGACACGAGGAGGGTCTGAGGGGGGAATAAGACACATAGAGGGGCTGGAGAGGAGATTGAGACACATGGATGGGCTGTGGGGGGAATGAGGGTTGCCAAGTCAATTACGCATCTGTATGCAGTGTGTGTAGTGAATGCATTGTGTGTGTGGTTGTGTGGAGTGGAGTGTGTGTTTGTGTAGTGGATACAGGGTGTGTTTGTGTAGTGAGTTAGGATAAAATATATTATTTTAGTGTTGGAAAAAATATATTATTTTAGATTTTTTAATATTTATTCAAGAATATATATTTTTTGCACTATTTTAAGGTGGGAATTAACTGGAGTTTGACTGATACAGGAGATGCCCTGTTTGCAAGAGTTTACAAACTAGATAATTTGAACATGCATACTTTCTTCTTTTCTCTTCTGTGTCATTGAGATAAGAACACACACAGGGAGTTACTCTTATATGGCAATACAAATAGTGACCAAGAGAGAACACAGATATTGTTTAAATGCACACTGGGGTTATGTATATATAAATTATTATTCTCTATAAAGCACCAACAAATTCCGAAGCACTTTACAAATATATGTGAAATTCTGCGGCAGAACTTTAAAAATGGGACTGGAACATTCTATGATGATTTCTATACTTTTAAGAATTTTCCCAGGATTTACAATTTTTTTACAAAGTGTTTTACACAAAAAAAACCCAAAAAAGGAACAATTATTTAAATAATATATGCAAAGATGTAACATGCAAATTAGTACAAGTGCTGTGGGAAGGGTGAGCAGTTTTTTGAAAATTGATTGGGCTTAGTATATTTCCTGGTAGTCTGGTAGCACAGTATGTTTGTACAATGAAGAGCTGGCAATGTCGAATTATCGATAATGCTAGTGTACTTAGCTGTACGTTGACCCAGATACTGGGTACACTATACGGACAACAGCAGTCTGATTTAGTATACGGTGCAGAGATTGCTGCTGTCATCGCAGCTGATGAATGCCACCTATCGGTATCCTTTCCACGTCACTGTTGCAGTGGTGGCTCTAGTGAGCAACAAGCAGGACAACTAGCTGGCGAGATAACGCTAACCGTATGTGCCTGCCGCGTTCAGGCACGGTCAACTAATAGCTTTGGGCATGTGCACTGAGATGCAGAGAAGTAGGTACCGTAACTGTTTGATTGTTCCAAGATCTTTACCTATAAATTATAGGTTTTAAATTATAAAAATCACAGAATTTCATAGCCCCAAGTTTTACCCTCGACTTATCCATGAGTCATAGCATATTTCACAATTGTTGGTCAAAAAACTGCACTTGACTTGTAGACGAGATCGACTTATAGACGAGTATATACGGTAGATATATCCATTCTTGTCATCAAAGAGTGAAAATACATTTCTGTGGCATAAAATGTAAGAACCAGCCTAAACTTTTGAACTTACCACCGTAAAAGATGGTTTCATTTGATAGGGATCCCTTCCTGCTAACTCAAGTTCTTTGGACCGGTTTTCTTGTATTTTCTGAGCACCACCTTTCTCTTTAAATGTTGTTTTACTCTCCATTTTTATTAATATGAAACCAACTGTAAAAATTATTGAACACCAAAACATGACAATGAGTTACATAAAACCAGCAAACATTTACTAACGTAGTGATTTAACTCCTAAATAGCAGATAATTGAGCAGTGAGACTGCAGGTGCATGATCTATATGCAAGAACTGCTCCATTAAGCTAAAGTTGTTGTTTTATTGACTATAGTGTCTTGCACTTATCCACATTAAATGTCAGTTGCCACAGCTCTGACCATTTTCCTAGTTTTTCTAAATCATTTGCCATTTGGCTTATCCCTCCTTTAACATCAACCCTGTTGCAAATTTTAGTATCATCAGCAAAAAGACATACCTTACCATCAAGACCTTCTGCAATATCACTAAAAACATTAAATAGAATGGGCCCAAGTACAGATCCCTGTGGTACCCCACTGGTAACTAGACCTTGCTTTGAATATACTCCGTTGACTACAACCCTCTGTTGCCTGTCACTCAGCCACTGCCTTACCCATTCGACAATATTGGAATCCAAACTTAAAGATTGCAGTTTATTGATAAGCCTTCTATGTGCAACAGTGTCAAAAGCCTTACTGAAATCTAGGTAAGCAATGTCTACTGCACCACCCTGATCTATTATTTTAGTTACCCAATCAAAAAAATCAATAAGATTAGTTTGGTATGATCTCCCTGAAGTAAACCCATGTTTACCCACCGATCGGGATCCCAGGAGAGGACGATCGTTAAGGCATAACAACCTAACTGCGGTAAAAGGGTTAATATGTTACTATTATTTTTTGTCATTAACCGTGTTAATTAATAGATTTACACTGTGTTACAAACATTCAGAATCATGTGTATACCATACAGGACTATGAAAGGAAAGTCTGAGTACACATGTCATTGTGCAATATTTCTTTACAGCTGAGTGCTATGAGCAATCCATTATTATCATGGAAGAATGACTTTATTTTGGACATGGTAGAGCCGCAAAGTTACCCATGGCCATCTAGTAGAGGCTGAATATACCCATAAGATTTGTCTGATATTTCAGTATAAGGATGGAAGAGCTATTTATCACTCCATGGAGTGATTGTATAATGGGTATGAGCTGTCATTGAAATTCAGGCTATGATTTGAGTAGTGGTGAAGTACCAAGTTGCTGCAGTATCTCATTGAGGACGCTGGTGGCACAGAAAAAGAATGGCTGCTGTTGCAGGTTCAGATCTTGATACAAAGTTGGGAACCAGACACGCTGATTCTGTTACATAATGCATGAAAGAGCAGAGTTACATTTAAGAGGAAAATAATATGGATGTCCACAATTGAACTTGAGTTTAGAGATGCTTTGGTGGTGTTTTGAAATGGACAGCCACATTGGAGAGAGTAAAGTATTAAAGAGGATTCCATTTGGATTATTCTTGCTTTAATAATAAATGTAGTATGTATAATTTCCATTCTGAAGGGCAGCAGTTTTAATGTAGAATTGGTGTGTATCCAGAAAAACCTGGTAGATCTATAAACCCTACTTGTCCGAGCTGCACTTTTACATTCTTTACCTGCTCCACATATTTTACAGTACCTGAGTGAGGTATTATGCAATTATGTGATTTCAAGGTAAATGCCATCCTCACAGCAAAGCAAACCAAGATTTTACAAAAAAGGCTACATATTCAGTGCAATAACCAAAGCAATTTGAACCAAAAAAAAAAATCTATGCTAATCTTTTATTTTTAATTTCATTAAAAAACATCACATTTCCACTCTTTCCTGTATTGCGGTTAGTGATACATTCTTCTTAAAATTCTGATTCATTCTAGGCGGTGATTAAAAAAGTTAAATGATTTCATATCTAGTTACTTCTAGCAAAACACTCCTTAAACTATTTAGATATTTAGATCAATTTTTAAGTCGAATTTTACATGATAAATTTTGTTTCATGATTATTATATCTACACAATAAAATATTTATTGGATGCATGCAATACTGGCATATTGTTGGCAGTGGTCAGTGGTCAGCTTAGCTTCTTTTCACAAATGGCAAAACAATCCTCATATGTGCAGTGCACATCATTCCACTCGCCATTAAGCCACATGTGAGCACAGTCTTCGTTATACTCATAGTCATTAGGTTCTCCTTTTCTCCAGTTCCTATAGAAAAGAATGATAAGAATCAATAAAGATCAACGCGGAGCCAAAACTAACAAATCAAATTAAGGGATTTTTTACACCATTTACACATCCAGCTTTATTGATATCCATCCATTTTGGAGCATGAAATGTTAACTAGTTACTTTATGATTTACATATGTAGTAAGTTTTTAAGGAACAAAAGTTCAGACAGTGTGGGACCTAGGCAAAACACACCATGCTAGAAGTGCCTTTAGAACATTCTGTTCTACTCGTTGTAACAGCAATACAGCTAAATATTCCATGTTATTTTCTGATGTGTTATGTTACCTTCACTTTTAAGGGTTGGTTTGAGTGTTTTAATACCTTCCCTTTCAAAAATGCCATTTCCGGTCACCTATACAAATTTAAAATGTAGCCACAATTCCTCCACCTGACATGGATAGCTATATCTAAAAAACTAAAAGAGGTGCTGTACCTGGTGACAGGAATGCACCAATCTTGCATTGAGGGGGCTCCTACGTAAGATCTATCAAATGACACCCGGCATATGAGGGAGCTCCCTCAGGAAGATTAGCACTTAATGGAAACATGTGAGCAGCCATTGGAAACAATGATGGAGATTCACAGCCTGGGACATTTATCAAAACTTGTGATTTTAAATATCAGACAAAGGAATCTCGATACAATGGGGAAGTGCACAGTGCAGTGTTTCACTGGTTGATTTGTGTTTGCTGTATAAACAAAACATGTATACAAAACCCTTTGTGTTCCACAATTCATCAGTTCTGTTTCCCACTTAAACAAGTGTTTGGCTGGTATTTGTGGAGGAATTGGAAGCTCTTTCTCTCTCTCTGGAAGATCCTTTGTACCTCTAGTCTAGTGTTGCTATAATGAAAGGCTCAATGCTATATAGTCCTCTTAGCAGAAGAGATGAACGCTGGGTAGAAAAGGACTCGATCCCAAGCCAGGGGACTAATCCTCCTGTGTCCACTACGCTCTTAATAATTCAAATGTAAATAGTTAAAATACTTATAAAATTAAAATAAATTTTAATTTTAATACTCCTGGTGGGCAAAAACAAGACTAAAATGTATAGAATTGTGACAGCTATTATTAAGCTGAGATTGGTATGCGAAGGGGGTGAAATTGTTAGTAGTGTACATTTTAATTATAATCCTACTTGGCAGCACTAACAGAAGATTAAAGTAATTAGTGATTGGGCAGCTATGGCTTGCCCACCGCCCTGCAAGCACAAATCTAAAACAAAATAAGAAAAACTGTAAAAGAAGAAATTTTCATGTTTATTAATTATTCTACTAATTCTTAGTAATTTCCTAAGTCTTCTTTTTTTCTATATTTCTTTGAACTCAAAAAAGGTCACCTGATGCAACTTAATAAAATAAAATGATCCCCAAAAATGTGTGGAAAAACAAAAGCATGATGTCCCAGAAACAAAAAAACCTATGTGAGCACACTGAGGGCCCCATGCATTCAAAGTTGAATATCAGTTAGAGCTCTTTGATTGGTTAACGTGGTAGCCAAGTCTCTGACAGCTGACATCTCTCTGAAATCAAGTCTTGCCTATTTCTGGCCATGGCATATGCCTTCTCTAGAACTATTTAGTGCCTACACATTGCCCATGGGTGGGGGAGGGAGGACCAGTGGCAGGTCCTCCTTATTTATTTACAGACCACATCTCACTGCTAGTGGTGTGTAGCTTTAGTGATTGGGCAGCCATAGCTACCCAGTTGCTTATTACTGAGCAATGGTGGGAGGGAAATAAAAGTTACCCCAATATTAATATTGTATATGCCCCATCCCATCTAGACAAAAAGTTGATGTTTAGTTAATAACTCTGTAACAATATTATTGTAGCACATGCTCGTTTCAATCGGGCTGCTAATGTTTTGCTTGCTCTATTTCCTTGTGCGTAGTATGTAGCTTTGAGTTTGCGTAAATTAAAGCCTACTCGTTGCAGCGTGTGTAGTCTAATTTTTTTCTGCTACTTCTTTAATGCTTTTTTGTATTGCTTCTGTTGGGTGCGTTTTGTTTTTGTTTGTGAGGTCTATTAATTGTTTGTTCCATTCTACTCATTGGGCTTGATTAATTTGTTTCAGGTGTGTTGCTCGTTTTAGTAAAAGTCCTCTAATCACTGCTTTGTGTGCTTGCCATAAGGTGCATGCTGATGTATTTCCCGTGTCGTTGAGTGTGAAAAATTCTGTTATGGCGTCTTCTATTTGGTTGGAGAAGGGTATGTTTGTCAGTAGTGATTCATTGAGTCTCCAGGGGCTCTTATGTTTGTAATCGTAGTTGTCTTTAAGGGTCAGTGTTAGTGGGGCATGGTCCGACCATGTAATTTGGCCGATAGAGCAGTCCAGAACCTGATCTAAGTGTAGGCTTTCCATGTGGAATGTATCTATCTTGGTGTACATATTATGTGTAGTTGAGTGGTACGTGTAATCCTTTTCATGAGGGTGCAGGACTGGCCAAACGTCATACAGTTTGTTGCTGTCTAATAATTTAAGATATGATGCACATGTTTTACGTTGTTTTGTTTGCACCGCTCTGGCAGCGCAGGATGTTGTGTCGCTGTTGGGGTCTATGATATGGTTAAAATCCCCACATAGGACCAGTATTCCCTCCTGTATTGGTCGTAATATGGTTAGGATTTTGTGTAGGAAATCCCTTTGGTTCATATTAGGGGCATATACATTTTCTAGGGTGTATTTAGCGTTGTTGATGGTGCATATTATTATCATGTATCTTCCCTCCTTGTCTATCTGTGAATGGTGGTGCTGGAAGGATACTGTGTTGCTAATCAGTATTGATGTCCCTTTTGTTTTTTTCCCTGATGTGGCATGATATTGGTGCGGGTATAACGATGGTTTTAGGGTCGGTGGCAGTTTAAAATGTGTTTCCTGAAGACAGACTACGTCAGGCTGGTCTCTCTTAAGGTCTCGGAAGAGGCAATGCCGCTTATATGGGGTGTTCAACCCTCTTACATTATAGCTTTGTACTTTCATACTTTAGGTCAGTATCTTGAGACGCTAGACTCTGTTTGTGTGATCTTTGTGTGGGGTGGGTTGAGCTAGTAGCTGGTGGTGAGTTAGTTTTGTCTTCACAGTGCTGGGCAGCATTGTGGGCTTGAGTGTTTTGTTTAGTGGTAGTAGGGACAGTCCGCGCTTGGCGGTTGGTGGGCTCTGAGGTTGGCATGTTGTTCAGGTGGGTGTTTCCGTCTTGTTCGGTAGACACATCTGTCTCTCGGGGTAATGTTGAAGGGGGGGGTTAGGGAGGGGGTTTTGGTGGGGTCATACTGTGAGGGTATGAACCGTAAAAGAGTTAAAACTATAGCCCATTGGTGGGCTTTGGTTCCGACTATCGGTACCATTGAGAGCGTGGTTATTCTAAAGGAAAGAACAGTAGTAAGATTGGCCATTATCAATTTGTTGTGACCAATGGTGGTTTGGAGGTGTTCCTCTCGGCAACTGTCGGCCCTGCGGTGGGGCAGTGGAGAGCAGTTACGCTGGACTGCTGTTGTCTCTTGGGTTCAACCTACTTACATTATAGTAGTGTAACATTGGGTGTTTTTTTTTATTGTTTTTTTTTATATTATTATTATTGACTGCAGCTGGGGGTGTTGTACAAATGGTGTTATCTCGGGAATATTAAGGACAAACAGAGAGTATACGTTTATACACTTTTTTTGTGTGTGTGTTTTGTGGGGATCTCAGGTGCCCCCTATTTGCTATCCGATTACTGTGCCAACTTTTTTCTCTTCTCGTGTTACTGGGGGACGGTGCATTCCCCTGATGGAAAGCTCCTATTGGGGTCACTCTGTGTGGCGCTGAGTAGTGCAGGACTGTGGTTGCTGCCTGGTGTGGTGTATTGATCCGGTTGTCTAAGGTGTGTGGGAGATTGTGATGGTTGCATTGTGGTTTTGTTGTAGTATGACGTTATCAATGTAGTCTACTCCTATTCTCTAATATTTGTATGTCTCCTTGGGGGTTTCGTGGGGGGTAGGGTTTAGTGTGAGTGGGACTATCCTATTCACATATATGCTAAATTAGCAAACTATTCCACATACATTGTTCCAAATAACCTGAACAGTCATATTGCAATACATTATAAACACAGTTACCTTTCCCCGTGATAACTCCCCGCTCCCCCCAAACTCCCCCAGGCGTAGCTGCTTTTCATGGGCGGTGTTGCGTCTTTCGCTGGATGTTCCCTGCAGCCACCTAGTATCTGTTCCCAGTTATTCTAAGGCTAGTTGCCTCCCATCAGGCTTCAGCTGTGAGTTCATGTGGTAGCGTAGTGTGTCGATTTGTACCGCATTATTGTCCCAAAGGTTGGCATGTTTGGTGTTTTGCTAGTCCCCAATATGAATGCTCTGTGCATGTTGTGAATGAGTGTGCTTTGCGTATGTGTGAAACGCTGCCGGTGTTGTGAGGCAGCGTGAGGGGTTGTAGTACCATATTCACCTTCCTTGAGATCAATAGTCCTTTCTTGTGGCACTTTCAGTCCCGTTCTCTGTTATTTGTGGATTGTGTGAGTATCTTATGGCATCTCACACCATTTCCGATGCTTGCTAAGTTCCCAAGTGTGTTACCCCTCCGTCAGGGCCGAAGGGCTCCAGTTTTAGTTGCGGGTTCTTTTCCATTCGGCTGGAAGCTTGCTCGGTTGTGGGTCGTTGCCACTTCTTGTCTGGTTTTGGGGTTGTATGCCCCATTTCTGTAGGGTTTTCCGTCCATCCGCCAGGGAGGTGATGACATGCATAGCTCCATTTTTGTGTATTAGGAGACGGACTGGGTGACCCCAGCGGTAAGGTACCTCATGGAGCCGAAGTGCGTCCGTTATTTCTTTATATTCCTTCCTTTTTTTCAAAGTTTGGGCAGAGAGGTCTGCATAGAGTTGGATGGAATTGTATTGGGCTGGAAGATCTTTGCGGAGCCTAGATGCCCTCATCAATGCTTCTTTCGCATGATAATAGTGGAGATGCGTCAGTACATCTCTCGGCTCTTCTGCTGGAAGGAAGCTTGGTTTGGCGACTCTGTGCGCTCTATCCAAGAGCAAGACATCTGCTGGGAGGTCAGGAGCTAGTGTTTTAAAGTAAGCCGTGAGGTACGCCGCTATTTCGGGCTGCTTCACCGTCTCAGGGATCCCCCAATTCGTATGTTCTGTCTCCTCGATCTATCTTCTAGGTCCATGATTTTATTTTGGCAGGACTCCAGCGCCTGTTCCAGGTGGTGAACATGATCAGCCATGTCGTTGTGTGCGTCTGCATACTCGCCCATGCGGATCTCCATGCGGGCTGTTCTGTCACCCAGCTCCTGCACGTCTTTTCTTAAGTCTGAAATTGACTTGTTGAGGTTGTGCAGCAGTTTATCAGACATTTCTCCTAGGCATGCTTGGAGTATATCCTGTGTAACCGGTAGATCTCTTCCCACAGGGGAGTCCTGCAGCGGCAGCGTGTCGTCGCCATCTTGGCTTTGATCTCCTGCGCTCTGAGTCTTGGGTGGTTGATTGCGGGCGGAAAAGAACCCGCTTTTGTCGTTTTTTGGGGGATCTTCTTCCCCTTGGTTTGAGCCATGCTTGAGGTTTGGTTGTGGGGTTAATGCTGGTCACTGTTGCTAATAATGTCGCTGTATAGGCCAAAACAGAACGGAGCTAACCTCACATGCGTCCGTTCGCGCCGAGCGTTAAGCCACGCCCCAAATTGTATTCATTATTAATTGTTTTTTGTTTTTTTTTTTAATTTGTATTTTTTATTAAGTTATAGTCAACGTGTACATTTATGCAATATATATGGTTATGCAGTATATATAGTTATGCCATATATTTAGTAATGAAATATCTTTAGTAATGCAAGAATATAGTTATGCAATATCTTTAGGAATGCAAGACATATAGTAATGCAGTATATTTAGTGATGCAGTCTGTATAATTATGCAATATGTTTAGTAATGCAATATCTCTAGTAATGCAATATCTCTAGTAATGCAATAATATAGTAACACAACAATATAGTTATGCAATATATTTAGTAATGCAAGACATATAGTAATGCAATATATTTAGTAATGCAGCCTGTATAATTATGCCATATCTCTAGCAATTCAATATCTCTGGCAATGCAATATCTCTAGTAATGCTATATCTCTAGTAATGCTGTATTATAGTGGTGCAACACATTTAGTGATGCAATATATTTAGTAATGCAATATATTAGTAATGCAGTGTATTTAGGTAGGCACATATGCAATGTGTTTAGGCAGCCGCTTTGTTTTATATAGGTGTGCTGGCACCGGGGTCTCTATGAGACTGTCCATTGAGAGTGTCTGCTTGATAAGTAATGGGGCATCAGTTACTTGTCATGTTTGCCTCTGTGTTTTAATTCAGGGTCGGTGGCTGATCTTTGGTGGGTCAGCAGGTTAAGTCAGTCTACCAAAGGGAGTCCCTGTTAGCATCAGTTTTCGTTCGGTCCTTCTTCTCTGATGGTCATGGTTCTGTGGCTCTGTGTGCTGGAGTCAGTCTCTTCACCTTGAAGCTGGATGGCTTGCTCTGTGTGTGGTTGTTCTCACTGGGACCCTCTGGTCTTTCGGGTCGCTTGGTGGGTGAGGGGGTTTCCCGTATCGGGGGCAGACCCACCTTTTGCAGGAAGGGCTCTGGATCATCTTCTGAGTCAGGATAATACTCTCTCCCTCTATTTCTGTTAAGAGGGTAACCTCCACTCCCCAGCGGTATCTTATTCCTGAGTCTCGCATTTTCTTGGCTATAGGTGCCAGCTTTCTTTTCTCCGTGAGAACGGTGAATGGTATGTCAGGGAATATTGCCACTTTGTGTCCTTCATTAAGGATTACCCCCATTTCTCTGGAACGTGCCATTATAACTGACCTTGTAGCTATATCCAGGGTCACCATGATGACATCCCTGGGTGCTCTGCTTGGGGCTGCCGCCAATTTCCTCACCCGGAATGCTGAGGAGAACCGCTGCCTGTCTTTACCTCCCCCCACACCCATATGTGCTATCAGCTTGTGGACATAGGGCATGAGCTGCTCATTGGTCACTGATTCAGAGATCCCTCAGAGACTGAGGTTTTTCCGCCAGTGCCTTGCCTCAATTGTGGTCACCGAGCGTCTCAGTTGTTGCACTTGAGAGGTGAGTTTTTCTAGGTGGGTGTCCCTGGCCTTTAGGTTATTTTCTCTGGCTGTCTCATGGTTTTCCAATGCCTGGACTTTTTGGCGCACCTCCCCTACCTCTCTCTGGACTTGCTTGAGGTTTGCTCCCCAGATTTTCCTCATTTCTGTGAGGAGTCTTTTTATGTCCCCTTTTGTGGAGGGTGTCTCGTCTTCCTCCGATTCAGATAGGCAAGATGGTGTTTCTGACCGGGGGGAAGGTATGGATTCCTCTTCGTCTTGCAAGGCCTCAGATGCCGCGTGTGTGTACGGCGCGAATCAGGCGCCATCTTTATGGCCTGTGAGTTTGTCGGCCACTCAAAAGGAGATTCTAATATCTGGCTGGTGGGGACCTACAGGTCCTTGAGCCTTCTTGTTTTTTCGTCCCATTGTCTCTGTTTCTATTATTATTTTCGTTGGTTATTCCCCATCTTAGGGGAGTAATTATAGGGCCTTTTTTTGCACTTTCACCGGTCAACGTGGAGACCTCTGAATCAGAGCCTGCATCTTTCAATATGTGGTCACTAGTTATGCTGATTAACCATAGTACTACAGATGTTAATTGAACACCCTTCCCGATGCCAACATTGTGAACCACACTAATGGTGTACAATTCTAATAGATATATACATGTGCCTGCAATATGTATTTTAGTTTGTGCACCTGTGCATTATGAAGGCCTGTATATAGTGTGTGTGTGTGTATAATATATGTAGAATGTTGTGGGTGGATATGTGCATTTGCATCATGTTAGTGGATAAATATATGTAATTAATCATTCACTAAAGTGAGAAATCAAAGTGAATGTCAAATTCAAGGTAAAAATAGCCTAACTAGAAAAATGATCTAATTCAGCTATGCTTCGAGTTCAGCTACTTTGACCATAAATTTTAAATTCACTTTAAATTTCCACTTTAGGGAATAATCTCGATTTGTTTAATTTCTCTTCTTTTCTGTATGTTTTCTTTGTGCTGACTGCCGGATGCACAGTGCAGATCTTATAATGATGACTGACAGGGAGTTAAGACGGAGGTAGCCAGTTGCAGGAGAAAGAGGTATGGAGTTCTACATTTTATTTTATTTTTTGTACTTCACAAATGCATTTTTACTAAGTATAGGAATGGACAAACATAATAATTAATATTCTGGGAAGTGACGGCTTCCATTTAATAAATGTAATAATAACGTGTTAGCTAAACGTTAAAAAATATTGTGCTTTTCAGATTTTAAGCAACAAGGCATTTTTGTAATTCAGGAAAACGTACTTGTATGATCTTTCATAGCCTGTTCCATCAACCCATGTCCACACACCTTCATCCTCAGTATCGCTCAAGCCTATCCAATATCGGTTAGTTTTATAACTGACCTTGGACATCAGGAAAAGCTGAAATAATATAAAATGTAAACCGAAACAATACAACAAAAACAATACATTTATAACCTACAGCGTCATAAACTAAGGTTACACAATCATTTCTGTTTAGTAAGCAGTTATGAAAATATTCTGACATAATTCCTATGTGATTATCTCTACATAGAATAATTGTCAAATCTCTGATTGTCAGTTGCAGGTAAACGTAACAGTTCTCATTTATATGAAATATAATTTATCTGTTGGTAGTATTACTTTAAATTTATATCGAGAACATTTTGGTGACTGGTTTACTCTAAACAGACCATTATAAACACTAGACTATTCAGTTCAAATAACAGAGCAGGAGATAAGAACTTCTAAAGTAAACACACTGTGATATAAGATCTGATTTAAATTAAAACCAATTTTCATGTTGGCTGTGTGACTCACAGCCATGGGAGCAGTGGCTTTTGATGCATAAATGGAAACAAAAGTTTTTTAACTCCTAAATGGCAGAGAGTTATGTAGTTATGTAGTGCTATTGTAGGGACATTATCTCTACACTAAAAGTGCTTCATTAAAGGAGCCGTGTATCATTAGAAATACGTATCTGTATTGATAACACTACAGTCCCGGTGCCTCTTGCCATTCAACCCCACCACATAATTAAGATAAAACTAAAATATACCAATTACTCACCTTATCTCCCGCACCAATGCTTACGATTCCTCCATAGAGATTCATTGTACTCAATGTATTCATTGTACTCATCAGCGCCTGAATTAAGTACTGGTATATTACTTCCTGGCTCTCATACCCAGAGTCATGGCTTGAAGACTCACTTTCAAGTTTTCTATTTAGTTTAATATAAGGTTTGGGAGATAGGACAGGGTGTCCTGCATTGAAGGCACTATAGCAACTTACATAGTTACATAGCTGAAAAGAGACTTGCGTCCATCAAGTTCAGCCTTCCTCACATATGTTTTTGCTGTTGATGCAAAAGAAGGCAAAAAACCCAGTCTGAAGCAATTCCAATTTTGCAACAAACTAGGAAAAGTCATTTTTGACCCCAAAATAGCAGTCAGGTATGTCCTTGGATCAAGCAGCTATTACCCCACTAATTAGAAATTACATCCCTGTATGGGTAATGAGATGACGTTGTTGAAGTGCCTACAATGTTCCTTTCAACTGAAGTTGTTTTGGTGCTAAGATTATCCATTTAAGCAGTCACAAATAACGTACACACTCCTAATGCATTTACAGTTACAAACATAATCATATTAAACCACACTTGATATGCCTTAACATTAAACCAAAGTCTATTTTGCTCACAGATGGAAATATGAAGATACGTAATTTGACAGAAATTAGGCATCACCTGCTCTTCCTGACTTGTGATTACAACAAGGTCACCTCCCTTGGATATGCATGTTGTCCGAGCCTTCATCCAGTTTGTCTTTGTAGAAGTGATGAAATAGCAGTGGCTTTTGAAATTTAGCCAGCTACTCTCACATGTTTCCTCTGATAAAAAGATAACGGAGAAAGTAATTTGTTTACAAAACAGAATCAGATAATTGTAGAAAGCCTGCTTACAACAAATGACCGATTTACTTTGAATGTGAAATTGTTAAGCATTACATTAAAATTTTTGTTCTGTAACCAGTAACCAGATTTCAAGCAGAAAGAAAACTTTTGATTACAGGGGGACACAGGGTATAGCTCCACCTTTTGTATATATATAAATCATGAACGTTGAGTAATCAAAAAACGTAATGCATATAAAAATCCATTAGTATCAGAAATGACAAACTATCAAAGAAGCTGCATATTTACCTACAGTTTCAACCTGTCAGAGGTATTATGGAAATTAAATAAAAAATGTATACTGTAAAGCCACTATTTAGCAGATGTGACTCCATTTTGTAACAGAAGGTAAAACACAAAGACACATTTTTTTTATTTTATTTCCTACTGGATTCACTGCATGACCAAACTGATTGCAATGCAGCTAATGTAAACAGTGATTAGAGATAAGACATCTCTTACACTTAGAGCTGTTAGAAACCAAAGTATTTGAACAAGGGCGGTTGAGAGCCTACGTGTATATATAGACCTATACACATATATCTATATATACTAACCATTTAATTATGTTCAATTATATACAAATAGTACCTACATTGATAATTTTAATGTATTCATAGATAGAACCTAATGAATAGATTTCATTGTTATTAAAACGAACATTAGCTGTGTGTAAAGGACATGTATATATCATGTGTTGTCACATAGTAATAGTACAGACATACTTAGTCCATACTATTGGACAGTGTAACTGAGAAAACCAGACCGAGTATAATTTTAAAAAAAGAGATTCTCCCTACCAGTAATTATTTTTACTTTTTAACCCCTTAAGGACACAACTTCTGGAATAAAAGGGAATCATGAAGGAATATTTCCGTCATGTGTCCTTAAGGAGTTAAATTATATTAGACCCCATTGAAAGAGTGAGTTGAACCAAAGTCCAGATGTGTCAAAAAGATACTTTATGGCATGAAAAGGAGACTGGTAGTCTACCAAAAAGGACTAATATCCCTTGAAGTGTGACAACCAGCCATGATGGATTGGCCATAGAGATAAGACTTTTTTTACTTAATTTTCAATCACAAATTTCAATTTTCAATTAGAAGGTACACCAAGCTAATCCCATTGTTCACTTTAAATTGGTGACATAAAGAATTTCAAGTGAAGGAATTCTTTTAAAATGAGAACACGACACTGTTAGAGGGTCGAATCCAAAGGTCGAATCCAAAGGGGGGATTCACTGGTCAGATGCAAGATTCAGAAATTGGGAATTCAGGAGATCATCAAGGCACCATCAGATCGGACAAGTGAAATACCACTATAACACTCTGATGAATCCAACTGAGCTTTGCCGGAACAGAATTATTCTATATTATCTATCTAAACGCTTACTTGCATTCACCATTTATGGGATTATATCTTCAAGCCTAAAGAATTTTCTACCAAGAAAACTGGTAAATATGCTGGTTTAATTAAATGTAATAAAATGTTAATTCTAATCCGAGATATACCTGGATAATGTTAATCAGATTTCAAACTTTTGAAATCATATTTAGCTGAGGGAATTATATATACATAATTAAAACCTCAGACTGCAGCTGGGGACCAATAATCATATATATATAATTCACTGGTAATTTGCCAAGTTTAACATATCAAGTTATTATCCAGATATTGACTTATCTGAATTTAGGGATAGTTAATATTTAATCAGAAAATATCTGCAGTGTGAAAATTTTGAAATACTCTTTTGGTTACTGGATGGAAGAAAGTATTAAGTTGACTATTTTTGTGAGGAACATTGTATATCTTTTTTGCAATGTTTAAGTGTTTAGTCTGTGAGAATTGTAGCCAGCAGTGAGTTAATTTTGTGTGTTGATTCTAACTACCAGTCAGCATCTAGTTTTTATGACTTGAAGCTGTGCTGCTAACTGTCAGGGATCCGCGGGCGGCTTGGAGGGGAGGCTGCACGCCACTTGCAGCACTCACCCTCAGTCAGTCGCCGTCCGCGGTCTCCCCTCGTCTCACCTGTCGGCGAGCGGCGTCTCCTCCCTGCCGCTCGCCACTCGCGTCCTCCACGCCCCCCAGCGGCAGCATGTATAACGCTGCACGCTGGGAGGTCACTAAATTATGTAAACGCCGGGGTCACGTGAGTGACCCGGCATTAAAGAAACAGTACCACAATCACAGTGGGAGGTATAGATATCCCCTACGGGTGATTGTTAATTCTGATTGGAAGTTATCCAATCAGAATTAAACCAAGGGTATTTATACTTACCTTTCCTGTCCCTCAGTGCCCTCTTGTGGTCTTGTGATACCTGTGGTGCTGTTCTCTCGTGTTGCTCTCTGGTTTCCGATTATTTGGCTCGTTATTCCGATTATCCTGTCTTCTCCACTCCTTTGACCTCGGCTTGTTTCTCGTTCTCCCGTTTTCTGGCTCCCTTTACTTGGCTTGTCTCCTGACTATTCTTAGCGTGCTTAGCCCGGCCACTCTAAGGACCGGTATAGCACCCTTCCTCTCTGTGACCTGTTAGCGTGTTAGGTTCCGGAATCGTGACACTAACGTTCTGTGTCACATTCTGTGTAAAGGAATTCTAAAGAACTCTGAAAGATTCCTGTAACATTGCTGAAGTATGCATCTATGTTAAAATAACTTAATTAAATTCTAGAGGAATTATTTGTAATTTTGCTTGTAACTCCTTTAAAAAAAAAAAATCTAACTTATGTAGCTAGACACTGTTCCTAAAAAGCTATCTGATTATTCATGTGTCTTGAAAACTGGGTACCTCCATCAATCGCTGCTTCCTAGTAATCCTTGAGTATCATAAGCACCGCACTGGACACCATAACCATCGTTAACCCCACAAACTGCCACAGCTTGGTTGGGGTCTCACTGTCCTCCACCCACCCTGTACCCAAGACCAGGATCCAGCTTCCAGTAGGTAGACCTCTCCTAGTCTAGAGAGCGAAGCGGGCTGCTCTTACAAGAGCAATCTTTGTGATCCAAAGGAGTATAGTGAGTATAGCAATCTCCAGAGTGAATAAAGCTCTCCAATCCCCCAAACATGAGCCTAGACTTCATGAAGGGTAAAACAAATCTGTTCAATGACAGCCAAAACTGGCCTTATATGCAGGTCCCAATGCAAGGGGAACTCTTCCCTGAGCGTATACTACAGTAAAAACATATACATGATTATATTGGCTCTCAGGTCCAAGACAATCCTATACAAAATAGGTCAATCCCTCCCCTATGCCTGGGAGATAATTGAGTCAAGCACTGTATTAAACTCAATTATCTCCAGGCATTAAAAAACATACATTTAAAAAAACAAAAAACAAACAAACCTTAAAACACATAAAATCCCCACAAAAGTTACATCCCTGATAGTCCTGATCTGGGTAACCAACAAATCAAAAAATCACTCAGATCAGTTCAGGGGTTCAGGAATTTCCCAGAAGTCATAATTTGACCGACAGCCCGCCTGCATGGTCCCATGCCCAAAACAGTTCCAGAGAATCAGGGCTTGCGGTCAGTCTAGTTCGGTAGTTTAAAAAACAAACAAACTACCAAACAGAGTTGTTGTATAATCCTTCTCTCACCACCAATACTTCCAATTGGTATCCTTTTGAGAGAAATCCACTCTGCGTTGTGTTTTTAATAGTGAATGTAATATCCCTGTGTAACCTCTTCCAAGAACTAACATATATCTTTATCCCCTTATCCAGATAAATATACGACTAGAACTACTAAGGTATTCTACCCGATATTACAAATAAACAGCCAACACCATAGTTCTTACCAGAGAGAAATCTTTACTTAGAATCTGCCCAATTCAATATTACAGAAGAAGAATGTTACAGAGTTATAGTATTACAGTTACAATACATTCATAACACTCATACATTCCATCTATCTAATAATATCTACTGTATTGTGTATGTGCTGTGGGATGTTATGTGCAGCATGTGTCTTACCAAACCTAATCTAATGTGATGTCAGTATCTTCTATTTTTAAAGGAATTGGTTCCCATGTTGTAAATAGCCAATTCCTCAGCTCAATTTGACATGGAAATGTGATTTCCTTTCCCAAGGCCCAAAGTGTTGTCTATCCTGTTATTTTATTTAAGTGTTAACTTTCCAAGCCATCCCTTTGTCTCTAACCCAATGTGTGTTTTCCTATATAGGGACTCCTTTGACCAGTTGATATGTAAATGTGATTGGTGCCTTTCAGGTGCTGTATCTTTCCAACTATCTAAACAGAAACTCCCTTTGAAGATAATTCCTGACCTCCCATACACACAGACTTAATCAAGCACATATTAAACAGATATATACATAATATTTTCCCCAACACTCCCCCACTTGAATAAGATCTAATAAGGAGATTATTCACATACAGCCCCACCTCCCACTCTGATTTCTGTACATTAAAAAAAAATTAAAAAAAAAAAATCAAAGGAAGACATAGACCCACACATATATTTTATATCCCTAAAATGGATGTGAGCTCTAATTTTTCCTGCTTTGTATGGATTTTTTTTAGTTCTTTCCTCCAACAGCAATATAAAATGAATAGAGAACAGATTAAAGCAAATTGTAGACAAACAAATATTACAGAAGCAGTTCTTAATCCTGGGTGTGTGTAAGTATTGTAGGGTATGCTCCACCAGGGCTCTTGAAAACTATTTGTTAAATCATTAAGGCTAGCTACATTTTCCTTCACCAGCTCTTGCAATTGCACAACCCTTCGATTATTTCTTTTAAATAATGTATCCAAATCTACATTAAGTGGTGGGATTTTCTTAAAAAGTGAGGGAGCCATTTTATTCCAATTTCCTAGATCTTCCTGTACCACGTCCATAGATCTTTGTGTGAGTTGGATATTGGCTCTTATGACCTCTTTGCCCACTTTCATGGAGCCATAGGTAAGATTAACACACCATCCTATTGGGGGTACCCTACATTGTATTGTTTGCTGCCACAGAACTGAAGATACTCCCAGTGCGCAGATCGTGGGACCCTGTCCGTGCACCACTCTTTTCCAACCATTTATGGGTTTGTGAAGGTGAACAGGGCAGCTCCCTGAGTTTTCCACCATGCACCCATCTGCCTGGACTAGTGGTTCTAGTACACAGGAACAAAGCCAAGCATTACCACGTCTGTCACAGCAACTGGGGTTGATAACTTTCCAGAACTGGTCTTCTTTTATTACTAAGCGAGTTTGTGGAAGGAATTGCTTTAAAACATTAGTGCGATTAGCCACTTCCAACTCACCAAACATAGTCATCTTATAAACAGGTACAGGCTGTTCTGTCCAAACTGGAATGTCAATTATTAATGGAATTACCTTTTTTCCTAATTTGCACTTATTGCACCAACTCTGCAGACCTTTAATTTTGGAAAGGACTACATTCTGACAATCTATGCCATATTCCCTAACCAGATCAAAGACTAGGGTAGAATTGATTATTCTGGGCCATTCCCCTCGTTTTATTTCTTGGAGGCCTAAATTTAGATGTTCGTCTAGTAAATTTCCAACTATACCACATACCATAGCTTTAGATACATTATTGTTATTAACTGATTCTCTGAGAGCATTCACAGATATATTAATCCACTGCAAATCTGCAGCAACGGTGTGAATGTTCTGTATCGTGACATCAGTTTCAGCTAGAGTGTTAAAATCCACTCGTCCCTCTTTAAGCATAATTTGCTGCAACCCATTAACATAATTTTGTTCTCGTGAGTTAAGACCCTCTATGTCTGCCCTATTCCAAATTGATGTTCCCAAACTGAGTCCTGAGATTATATCAGTACCCAGATCCCTTTTTTTCTCTCTCTCTAAACTTGAGCCCTTGTGTTGCATCCCAGAACAGATTAATATGTGCTTGAAATAAGTTATAGTATTACAAATTCCTGACCTCCCATACACACAGACTTAATCAAGCACATATTAAACAGATATATACATAATATTTTCCCCAACAAGAGTCAGTAGTCTTACCCTGGAGCTTGATCCCCTTGTTCGTGGGAAAGTTTCCACCGAACAGCGCCTTTCTATGTGTTGTAGAACTGAACGCAGGTGATGCTGGAATTCCAGCGGTGTTCATGAGTTTCTGTGTCTGTTTTCAGTTCCATGAGATTCATGCCCAAACACCGCTGCCTGTGTTCGCGGGAACAAGATGGCCGCCACCTTGTTGTAGTCCATAGGAATTGCCGTCACCCAGGCGAACATTTAGAACACTGCGGTGGAAATTGCTACAAAGTAGCAATTAGGCTTAACAAGCTCCAGGGTGGTCTCTGGTTCGTGCGACTGTTCCGTTCTCCAACCAAATATAAAATCCCACGAACCAAGTCTGTTCACATAGTTTTTTAAAGGGCCCATAGTTTTTTGGAAGCTGGCCAGCACGCCCCTCCAAGAACACTTGACGAGGCTCAGTTCGTCACACTAAGTATACTGATCCTACTGGGGGATCATTTCTATGTAGACTAACAACCTCATCATCCTCCAATGATTAAGAAATTATCTATGTTGTGGTTATTTGTTGCCATAATTGTTGACATATTTTATACTATTGTTATACCTAAATATTCATTGATTATTGTCATGCATGTTACATATTATTATTAATTATTTGTCACAATAAATTATATTTTTATAATCAGTTGTGATTAATGTGTGAAATACAAATCCTGTAATAAACGTACTCCAGGGTCTATAAGAGTTAAAATAGTGGGTAACTCTTTAACCCCTTAGTGACCAGACCATTTTTCAATTTTCTTACCATTAAGGACCATGGCTGTTTTTACATTTCTGCTGTGTTTGTGTTTAGCTGTAATTTTCCTCTTACTCATTTACTGTACCCACAAATATTATATACCATTTTTCTCGCCATTAAATGGTCTTTGTAAAGATACCATTATTTTCATCATATCATATAATTTACTATAGAATAAATTCTGAAATATGATGAAATCTTTTTTTAAAACACACTTTTTTCTATCTTTGACCCGCAAAATCTGTTACACATCTACCACCCCCCAAAAAACACCCATGCTAAATAGTTTCTAAATTTTGTCCTGAGTTTAGAAATACAATACATCTGTCAGGAATCCCTGAATAACCTTTCACATGTTTATATATTTTTTAAAAGAGGACAACCTAAGTTATTAAACTTGGGGTATTTTGACTCTTTTCATGCAACCATTTTACCACCAATCTACGCCAAATAGAAAAAATTTAAAAATTTAGATTTTTTTTGACACACATAGCAATTTAAGAATACATGTGAACTTTAAGAGTTACTGAGAACTTTAAGGGTACTGCCAAAGAACACCCCAATATGTGTTCAGCAACATCTCCTGAGTACAGTGGATACCACCCATGTATAGGTGTGTCGGTTCTCTGGGGGCTAAAAGACCTTATTTGGAGGGTAAGCATTCCAGTTTTCCAACTTGGAATTTTCACAACTGGTCATCATGCACCCATGTCCTATTTGGGACATTTTTGAAGCCGGCCAATGTAATAGCGTATTTCAAATGGTGGTATTTTAACACTTTCCATGCATTAATTCTACCACCTGTCTTTGTCAAACTTTTGGGTAGTAATTTTTCTGTTATTTTTCTCTCACATTGTGCTTTAGGCATGGATTCTCAGTTCCTGTTATGTGTTACTGACAAAGAACACACGTACCAGGTACGTCCAAAACGTTGACAACCATTTTTTGTCAGACGTTCCTGGTACGTCCGCGGTTGGGAAGGGGTTAAATCCATCAAAAAAATTATATTGATTTTAATAATTTTATAAAATATTATTGTTAATATTTATTACCCTGTAAATATACTTACAAACCAGGACCACCATCACATATGTAAAACATTATTGTAGCTGCTAATTACTAGTCATAAATTTACTGACCATAATTTAGTATTATTTAGTAAAGTATTTGCAGTATTTGCAGCTTGTTGATAAAGGATTGCAAAAAAAGCATAGAAATGAGTTGGGTAGCTGTATAAACCTAGTTTACAAATCAAGTAGTATTTTTGAATTCCTTTGCTTTGATTAATTTTGATGGACCAGAAGCAATAATTCCCACTCAAGCACCTGCAAAATATATATTCATTACTAGAAAGCTATGAGTGCCTTTCCATACATATTAGATTACAACTTACTGTAAGCAGTCTTTTCTAGTTGAATCACTTTTGAAGAAAGATCAGAAACTGCAACAGAGAACATGTATTGTTAAATTCAGTGTGCCTTCTAAACACTAAATTGTGAAATCAAACCGGTTTGAAATCTTTAGGATAAAATGGCCAAGCCACGATTATAAGGGAGTTGGAGATTTTCTAAATTAGCCATTGCAGACACTGGCACGCCTATCGTATCAGACTCACTTGTGGCTTTGGGCCATTTGGAGGTTACCTTCTGAGTTAGGTCCTCTAAACAATCCCTCAGTTCCAGCATGTAAGATAGGATTTGCATCCCATCCTCTCTTGTTTCCCCTTCCCAATGCTCTAAGATGAGATCTACGGGCCCCCTCACATACCTCCCATATAATAATTCTAACAGGGAGAACCCTGTCTATATCTTCGACACCTCAAGATAAGTGAACAGGAAATGAGGCAGGATTCACTCCCAATTGTTACAGTTGGTGATGAACATCGAGACATCTGTGTAACCTCAGTGGTGAACTGAGTACACCGAGCTGAAATGGTCTCTCTGGAGAACCCAACTTGAGCGAAAACTCTCATCAGGGCATCAGCTATCGTATCCACTTCACAGTAAGAATATACTTCTTGCTGGATGGACCAGGCTTGGCAAGGAGTCCTACAATATCAACTGTGACTTTGCTAAGCAGTTCCTCTATAATGGGCATTGAATGTAGTCAGGCTTTGGAGTTATCTCCTCTTGTCCCTACTTTCTGGCAGGTATCACAAGTTTGACAGTATTATCTGACATCCTCGGAGACACCTGGCCAGAAATAAGTCTGTATTACTCGATACCTAGGTGCCCGGCTAGGGGTTTGTCGATACCTAGGTGCCCGGCTAAGGGAATATCATGCCTAATCCTTAACAATTCTGCCCTATACTTTTGGATAACCACTAGCTGCCGTGTGAGCATCAGTGATGTCCCTTTTTACTGAAAATAGAGAATAGACCCAAGGCACACCACAAATTGCACATAAAAAATATTTTATTCATACAGTACAGTAGTAAACGTGACAAATGAGAAAGTGCAATAAACAGTGCAAGTAGGACGGAACAACTGTCCCAAAACCACTAGTAGTTAGAATAAAGTGCTATAGAATAAATGCATACACCCATATAATTTGGTTTACTGACCTAGAGCATGAGAAATAGTAGCCCCAACATTTTGACCCTCAAGACTTCCTCAGAAGTCCTGTAACTATAGATGCGAATACTGTCCCTTTTACTGCCTTTGCTGTCTCTAAGTATAAAAATCCCTGAGTCTCAGAGCAAAATGGTGCTTGATTCAACATTTAATTGATTGGGTTTAAACCATTTATTAACTGTTTAACCCCAAAAGTTAAGCTGGAGCCAAGGACCTTCTGGTACCAAAACAACTTAATTCGTGCACGGAGTATTTATTTAAACCATTTTGACATAAGAGGTTTCTCTCAACATATTATACAATCTCAATTAATGTGAAACAGTAAGTGTAATAAAAAAGAAATCATTATTTTATGTGCAACAATAATTATAATAAAATTGAAGCCATGACTTAAGAAATAAATGTAACTCTTTTTTGGGCATTTTTTTTCACAGCTGGCTGCATCAATTATCAGTAATTTTTCTGTCGTAAGTGTTTTGTCCAATATTTCAACTGTACACCAAGGTGGTGTGTGAGGATTCAATTATGATATGTGTTTTCCTAGTTTGTATCATTGAAGAGATATTTCAACCACCATGACCGTGTCTGCGTTTTTAAGTGGTTATGGTGGTAAGAGTCTGGATGTGCAGTGTTTCAGCTTCAAACACTGTAGATCCAGAGATTTTTAATTGTGTGCCAGGGGCAAGTTGCATCCCCGGCACACGTGACTTAGTTAGCCTGTAACTCCAGGCTGCCAAATGTAAATTCTGTGCTTATTTTATGTCTGTTGTCAGCACTCACTGCATGCTGCCAACAGACCAAACAGCACCTGCAATGGAGAAGGTCTTGCCTCTATTCCCATCCACACTGATTGAAGCCTTCCTCCTCCCTATCCCCTCCAAAACATTTTTGTAACCCCCGATACTCCCTACTTTTCTATTCCCTACATTCGTTGGTGGGAACTGTGCACATACGCTCTGAGATTATAAAATCCTCCAGTCAAAGGCTTTTCTATGGACTTCAGCACAGCTTTTGTAATGTCAGATGGGGCGTGCTAAGCAGCACCGGGAGCTGGATGCCAAAAGGGCATTAGTCTATTCTACACAAAAAAGGGTTGGAGAAATCCTTTATGTGTGCTGTTATCATGTGGCCTATTTTATTAATTTGTGGCCTATTTAAATAATTGTTGGAAGTGTGCAGAAATGTACAAGGATTGAGTAGGGACCTGCTGAAATATTTGTCTCTTTTGACCGGCACAGGTGCAAACGTAAAAGTAAGGATGGCTATATTTTGTTTTGCATTGCTTTGTATGTACATGGTGTTGGAAAAGAAGGGGTTACAAACATCTTCCCCTTAACTGTTAAAAATATTGATCATTGTTTTCTAAAATCGCTTGGACAAAAAAACCACACAAACTTATTGCATTCAGTATTTAGCATTAAAGTTGAGACTAGCAATTTTGTTGAAGATGCTTGATTTGAAACATTAAGCATGAACAATTCGTTGGGAAATGGGTGTTTACACCACCTTTAGTCATTTATCACTATATTCCTCCTGTTGTACTATAATATTTAAGACACTATATGACTTACTATTCGACTTGAAGGAAACAATTTCTGTCTGAACTTTGCTGTCCGCTGTAGAGCCATAATTTTTAGCTGTCAAAAAAAAGTTACCATGTTAAAAGCGCAAAGAAATTATTATTTATATGCCAAACACCAACATGTCCACTGTATTGTATTGTAGGTTAGCTGATTCAAAGATACTCCGAAAGACCACGAAGACTTATTTTATCATTTAGGCCTTAGTTTAAATTTTGCCAAGATGAGCAATTTCTACTTCTAAGGGCTTTATGTTTTAATATTTTATTGAAATGTACACATTTCTTTGATAAATGATGTTCCATGGCAATCATGGCAGCATGCACCTTCATACAGCAAAATTCTGTGTCATCATTTGCCTTTGCAAAACTAGTGTGTTGCTACATTATCTTCACTTGTGAATTACAAATTAGTGAAAATAGTTTAGGGACTTAAAGGTATTAAAGATGCTTGTGTCCCTAGTCATTGTCCCTCTATTCAGTGTTAAACCATGTTCCAGCAGTTTAATGCTAAATAAGGGTCCTGGCTACAGCCCTGGCACTACTGGAGGTTTGGTTAAAGGGATACTGTAGGCATTAAAACAACTTTACATTAATTAAGCTGTTTTAGTTATAGATCATGTCCCTGCAGTCTCAATGCTCAATTATCTGTCATTTGTGAATTAAATCACTTTGTTTATGCAGCCCTGGCCACACCTGCCTGCATGTGACTTGCAATACCTTCCAAACACTTCCTGCAAAGAGAGATCTAATGTTAAACTTAATTTATTGAAAAGTATGTTTAATTTAGAATTTTTATCTCCTGCTGGGTAATAGTCTTCAAGACCAAGCAGGTAACTCCTGTGTTGATTAAAGTTACATTTTAATACAACACAGGAGGCTTCAAATTTGCAATACATTTCTTTACTGAAACCTCTACGCAGCAAACAAAGTGAAAAAAAATAAGAAATTAACCAATTAGAAACCAGTAGTATACTGCTGTCTCCCTGGTGAGTCTGCTCCAATACTGTGGGCTTGGGCCTTGATTGTGTTGGTGACTACACTGTGGTGGTCTCAACCTTGGTTCCCAGGCCTGCTGGAATTGTCTGCAGCAGACCTCTCCTCCTTTCTCATATCCTGCTGTTTTTTTTACTGGATCCTGCAAGGAATTCACACCTGTTAATCCTCCAGGTACTCATGCCTCTGGTTGCTTGTTCCATTTCTGGGGTTCCTGGGATATGTCAGGATATGTGACAGCTCAAGAGTTACTATGGGACTCCTGAACTCTGGATACCCGCAGGGTAATCCTCTCCGCATGGCGCATCTGGCAATGCTGGTGCAGTCAGTTGTGGGTCAAATGTAGGGTAGGCCTAATGCATTTGACTCCATCAGCAGGGAGGCTCAGGGAGCTGCTACAGGGAAGCTCAATCAAGCGAGGGTGATAGGTCATACGTCTCCATAACCCCGGAGGCCACAGAAATCATTGTCTCTTCCACAAGTGAGAGCAGAGCACTAACATTGCTACCACTCACGTCTCAAAGGGACATTGCTGCCATCCTACCTGGTGGTTGGAGATTCCTCTGTGCAACCATTGTTACTGCAGCATGTGAGTCTCTCAACATCCACGTCTGTCTGTTTCCAACTGAGCCTTCAGCTGTTTGGCTTCCTGCTATTTTTTTGGGACTGTTTTCTGCCTTTGAGGTGAATAGGCTGACCTTGGATCCGTGTCTAAAACTGTATTTCAGGCATCCAACCCTGCTTTAAATTTTACACATAACAGTAGCCACGTAACCCAGGTCTGCTTATGATTTACTCTTTGTTGTTTTATTTGTGTTTTATGTATTAAGCATTCACTTTGTCCAAAAACCCCTTGTTCCTGTTGGCTATCATTTAACTGCTCTGTAATGTATGTTACCTACTTTTTCCATGGCATGTCATTTTGAACATTGTGATGCATTTGTTTTGGAACAAGTCAGCAAATATTTTAAAAAATAATGCTCTTTAAGCTCTTTTTCAGGAAGTGGTTAGGGAGGTTATGTGATAACAGTTAAGAGAAGAGTTTCTAGGGCTGCATAAACAGAGTGATTTAACTCCTAAATGGCAGAAGATTGAGCAGTGAGACTGCAGGGCATTATCTATATAACACAACCACTTCACTAAGCTAAAGTAGTTTTAGTGTTTAGAGTGTCCCTTTAAGAGCAGTATGTTTTTACATTATTGTCCTTGTATGCACAAGGATATCACAAGGATCCACGTCAAAAAGTCAACTTTACACATATGTAATGTTATACTTAGTGGTATCATGCACAATGGCTTGTCCTTACTTTGCAACATGGTGGGGTAATGAAACAGGTACTGGCAAATAGCAAGGCACAATATATTATGTGATTTGGTAAGTAGAGTGTGCAGCATAGGTAAAGGAAAGTCTTCTTAAACCAGGTTACGTCTGATGATGACCATTCTTTATGCAATCCCAAGTGACCTAAGTGGATAATTCTGTCACTTCCACAAAGTGTGTGGATGTAATTGGTTGGCACTTCTATCTGGGGGGCTTTGCAAAGTATAGTTAGAACCTGACTATCTGCTTATGTTGTGATCACAGACTATTTAATTTGTGAAGGATTTTAGAATGGGTGTGGGGCTCCCCAGGAATATGTGCTTTGGTATTTAGTATTAGTTTCTGTATGACATAAATATATTTTTTTTTGTTGAATTAAATAAAATCCTTGTGTACAGTTAAAGGACCACTATAGTGTCAGGAAAAAAACTTGTTTTCCTGGTACTATATAACCCTTAGGTCCCCCCCACCCTCAGGGCCCCCCTCCCGCTGGGCTGAAGGGGTTCCCTCGGCGCTGGTGACCTCTCCTCCCCCTCCGACATCAAAACTGCTATGTTTACATCTTAAGGGTTAAAACCTGGGGGACCTGGCACCCAGACCACTTCATTGAGCTGAAGTGGTCTTGGTGACTATAGTGGTCCTTTAATTTACAAATTTACACCACTGGCTAGAGCCATATAAATTATAGTACAATAGAACAGTTAATACAGTGCCTATTTTTGCAACACAAAAATAAGTTATATTAAAACTTACAGCTCGATAAAACCATTATGAAGAGAGTCAAGATCAATATATATGAAATTGTCATGAGTCCGTATGTAAGAAGCATTGGATATTTTTGATAATAAGGCCATATTCTTCCTGAAATAATAATAGAATTAGATGAATGCATATGATTTTTTTAAACTTCATGGCAATCCTTTGACATTATGTAAAAGTGTGGCATTAACGCTTAAGTCACTACGGAATTTGTTGGAGTTATATAAATGCCAATAATAATAATAAAAATATTAATAACAATAATGTACATTGTGTATATGTTTAATATCAAGTATTAGCCAGTATCTTCCTAAACATATGCTGTTAATGTCTTGTTCCTAAACAAGTAGAATTCACAAAAATCATTATTAAATTAAGAAATAAATACAAAGCTCATAAAAACTATATATCTTAAATTAAATACTTAAAACATTCTTTTTATATAATCTTATCTAGATGGCCTTATGAATCTTATTGATTAAAAATAAGCCAGTGACCACAATTCCCAGTAAATTGGTCACAAGTTTATTTTGACCCATATTTCTTCTAGTGGCGAAAGAAGGAGAGCTTATACAAGGGATGGGCATTGAAACATGTGTGGAAAGAGAAATGGGTTAATTTAGCCACACTCCCAGGAGCAATGAAAAAGACTAACTCTTGCTCACCCTCGGAACAAGGCCGAATAAATAGTATACAAAGAAGAGTCATGGATGATCGTGAGGATCCTAGATTGATATAAGTACAACAATTGGTTTGAACCTTAAAGGAGAAGATGTAGAGGAAAAAAGTAAAGTTGATCTCAATATGTAGATTCTTCAGGGTATCACACTCTATATCACATCAATGCAGGAAAATAATGTCACATTTATGTTCAGGAATATTAAAAAAGCCATTGATTTATATGCTCACATATGTTATACAGTTATTTGAAGAATCCTACAATATATACTGTTTTGTTTGTGTGGATAGAAATTGACAGGGAGAAGTCAATGTGAATTTCACCATTAATGCCAGAGTTACCAACCTGAATGCACAGCTAAGATAATTAAATGTGAAATTCACAGCATTTGTTCGCTTTAGTAAATACCCCTATAGGTATAGTAATTATTGACAGACCATGAGATATGACTCTGCAGCCAAGTATTAGTATGCTATTGAAAGATCAGTCGGTCTGTCTGTCTGTCTGTCCATCAAGGTAGAGACATACTAAGCCTGTTAATGTCATAATTTGGCAATTTAAAATATAGCAGCAAGCAGAAACTCACATGTAATTAACAATTCAAGAAAAGGCATAGTATTACCTGAGTACATCTTTCTGTTGTCAAATGATTCTGGAATAATGCTGTCTGAGTCCATGGTTTAGGGAAAAATGATTATTGTACTCTTTTATCATTCGTTAGAAAAATGATAAGTTGGAGAGGAAATGTTCAAAATACAAAACATGTTTGTCTAAATTTTGCTGCTTCTTTCACTAATCTTCCTGTAATCTATCATTTGTAACCATACAATGTCTTTATAACATTTCCTGTTAATCCCTTTTCTGTCTCTTTTTTCTTTTTTTCATGTGTATCTTCTTAATCACTTGACATTTGCACTGTCGTTATTCGGCATGTGCTATAAACTTTAACTTTAATAATACACGGACACGTTTAATACTGTTGGAGTATAACGTCCACAGCTTTATTAATATGAATAAATTAACATAATTAGGGTCATTGTCATAAATGACATTATTTATTATCCCCCCGCACAATCCCCTGACAATGACCCTACCACATGAACAATAATTAACATAATTAACATCAATTACCAATAAACTTGTAAACATCCGGCCTACCAACGAGGCCCCATATCATAATGATAACTGTAGGGGTGTACCCAGACACCCCTACACCCCCAGGTTCGTCGCCACCGAAGAGCTAGAACCTACCAACCATGACACCGTCTGGCCTACTTCAGCCTAGGCCCTGGCCTGTACAGTTCCAATTCCTTGATAACTTCCAACTTAACCACGCCCTGTTCCCGCCGCTGTGACAAAACGGGAAATTCACCTCAACACAGGGAGGGTGGGTGGGACAACTGACAGGTAAGTGAAGTTCTGATTAAAATGGCCACTCTCTAAGATGGCCGTTATTTCAACCCCCTTTGATCCCGCCCCCAAGCTCCATTAGCTTAAACCAACCCCTAACTGAATGCACCTGCCCACTCCTGGCTCTGTCAAGGCCCACTCCCCTTACTTCGTTGTTCCATGGGCTTCATGACATTTGCACTGTCGTTATTCGGCATGTGCTATAAACTTTAACTTTAATAATACACGGACACGTTTAATACTGTTGGAGTATAACGTCCACAGCTTTATTAATATGAATAAATTAACATAATTAGGGTCATTGTCATAAATGACATTATTTATTATCCCCCCGCACAATCCCCTGACAATGACCCTACCACATGAACAATAATTAACATAATTAACATCAATTACCAATAAACTTGTAAACATCCGGCCTACCAACGAGGCCCCATATCATAATGATAACTGTAGGGGTGTACCCAGACACCCCTACACCCCCAGGTTCGTCGCCACCGAAGAGCTAGAACCTACCAACCATGACACCGTCTGGCCTACTTCAGCCTAGGCCCTGGCCTGTACAGTTCCAATTCCTTGATAACTTCCAACTTAACCACGCCCTGTTCCGCCACAGCACTTGTCTTGACCCCTTAAGACCATGTGCGACCCCCACCACACTGAAACAGGGCTCGGGCTATGCCCTCCTGGAACCCCAAGTTCAGCAAGTCACACCCCACCTCTGACAGGTGTACTCCATCCCTCCTATAATAACCTGGCAACATGCCCTCCAGTTCCCGATGCCTCACCACTATTCCCCCCATCCTCTTAACAAATACTGCCATAGCTCTATTAACCTTCCCCCTGCATCGTGCCACCGCAGCAGGGTCCCTGGCGTGACGCCATGTAAAACGAGGCACCATCTCGGACCACACCACCACCACGTCAGGGACCAGCTCCCGTAGCCGATCCATGTCCCTCTTCATTCGCCGCAACAGTTCCCGTTGCGGAATCAGCCCTAAGTCATTCCCCCCACCGTGCACCACTACAACATCCGGAACCGGACCCTTGGACACTTTTGTAAATAAAACATTACTCAAGCTCTGCCAACTAAAACCTCGAAAACCAAACCATGATAAGACCGCCCGTTCCAGAGGAAAGCCCAGTTGTGTTCCTTGTCTCCGAACTGCGGCCCTCTTCTGTGCCCAATATACGAACGAGTGTCCCAGCAACCAAACATTCCAACCTGAAAAGAGACAAAATTAATTACACCGCAGAGCCAGTGTCCCCCAGTCCCGGCCATTTAACCCCTCAAAGCTCCACCATCCCGTCGGGCCTCACATACGAGCGAAACCGCACGGATTCCCACCGTCCGATCCTCTTGATCCGCTCGTCACCCAAACCCAAGCGTGCCGCCTCTGTAGCCGCACCGATACGGAACGAATGCGACCCGAATTGCGTGGGCTGCAGGCCCAGCTTCACTAAGCCCAAACGAAAAATCCTAATGAATTGAAACCGTGACAGCGCCGTGCCGTCAGCGTGCAGGAAAAAACAACCGCTAACGTTAGGACGGATCCCCAGGTACCCTGATCCGCAGGCCACCGGGCACAACCCTGACCCCGGCAACTCGAATAGCACCACGGAGCAGCCTTTGCCGAAAACATCAGTTTTCGATCGGCCCAACCTAATCTGCACGCGATCACTCTTAACTTCCACATCCTCGCGCTGCAAGCCACCAACTCCCACTTTGTTTGCGCTAACCAGCTCCCCGATCCGAAACGCCCCGAAAAACGCCCAGACAAACGCACCAGAAAAAAGGACCACCTCAAATGGCGAGGAACATAACTCCGGTAACTTTCCCACCAAACCTTGTAAGACCGCAAAAGACACCGGTCTCCTAACGTCCGTCGACGTCTTTCCCCTCCGAAAACCCCGAACCGCCTGTCGAACCAAGAAATGCTTTGTCAAATCTTCCCACCCATGGAATTTAAACCAGAAAGCCAAGGCGGACATATGCCTGTCCACCATGGCCGGCGAAGCCCCCTTTGCAAACAACCGGCACAACAACCATAGGAAGACATCCAGCCTATGGCCCTCCGAAAGGTCCCCACCTACCTCCTCAACCGTTTCCTCCCATTCCTTCCAAACCTTAGCATAGGATGACCACGTGCTCGGTGCCAAAGATTTCTTTATGTATTCCCCAAGCACGATGTCCCGAGTCGCCACATCTCGTCTGGGCAAGCCTGCCCGCATTCCCGTGCCTCTGGAGCCGCTTCCCGAAAACGATCCCACTGAAAACGAGAAAGCGCATCAGCCACCACATTTGAGAATCCCGGAATGTGCCTAGCCCTGAATACTAAATTGGAAGACATGCAGAGGAGCACCAAACGCCGCAGTAGGCATAAGACCGGAAGCGAAGATGCCGACAAACTGTTGATTGCCTGCACCACGGCCATATTGTCCGAATAAAACACGACTCGCTTGTTTGCTAGTTCAGCTCCCCACAATGCTACCGCAACCACTACAGGGAAGAGTTCCAAAAATGCCAGATTCTTGATCAATGGGCTCGCCCTCCATGCCTCGGGCCATGCCTCGGCACACCACCGTCCCGCAAAATAAGCCCCAAACCCCACGCTGCCCGAAGCGTCCGTAAACAGCCCCACTGCTTCCGAAGACACCACTTGCTCCCGAAAAAAGGCCTTGCCATTGAAGTCCCTCAAAAAACGATCCCACACCTCTAAGTCCGCCTTCATGTCCGCGGAAACCCTGATATAGTGTGACGGCATCCGTATCCCGCTCGTCGCCCGCGCCAATCGTCTACAGAAAACCCTCCCCATGGGTATGACCCTGCACACAAAGTTCAGGCTCCCTACCAGAGACTGCAATCCCCTCAGCGTCACCTTCCGTGCTCTCCCAATTGTGTGCACCAAGTCTTTCAGCTTGTGCAACTTGTCCTGTGGTAATCTACATTCCCCGATCTCCGAATCGATCTCCAAACCCAGAAAACTGAGACACGTGGCGGGTCCCACGGTCTTGTCCTCCGCCAAAGGAACCCCCATCGTCTGCGCTACCCATTGGAATACCCGTAGTATCTGCTTGCACCGGTCTGAGCCTCGAGGGCCGACACATAAGAAGTCGTCCAGGTAATGCACAACCGTGCCCCCCTCCGATTCCCGTCGCACTACCCATTCCAGAAAAGTGCTAAACTTCTCGAAATAGGCGCACGAGATGGAACAACCCATCGGCAAGCACAGATCCACAAAGAAGCCCCCTTCAAAACAACACCCCAAGAGGTGATGACATGACGGGTGTATGGGAAGCAGCCGAAACGCTGCCTCCACGTCCACCTTCGCCATCAGCGCTCCCCGCCCAGCTCTCCGTACCAACTCGACTGCCCTGTCGAATGATGTGTAAGATACTGAACAGAGTGCTGCGTCGATGTCATCATTCACCGATGACCCTTTAGGATACGATAAATGATGAATCAACCTAAACTTGCCAGCCTCTTTTTTGGGGACCACTCCAAGTGGGGATATCCGCAACTCCGCTATAGGAGGATACGGGAACGGCCCCGCCATCCTCCCCAAAAGGACCTCTTTGGCCAGCTTTTCCCGCACTACCTCCGGGCGTTCCCGCACCGATTTAAGATTGGCACAAACCGCCCCTGGTTCCTTAACCGTGAAGGGGATCACGAAGCCCTCCCTAAAACCCCGCCACAGGAACGCTGCATCCTCCTGGTTAGCGTATTGCCTTAGCCAAGGCAACATCGCGCCTAACCTCACTGGGGACGCCCCCAGTTGCAGCCGAGGTGGCCGCCACCCCTGCGGTTCCACCCCCTGCATTGAGCTTACCTTTCCTGAAGCATCTGCTGGCGCCGTGATTCCCTCCGCAGCCCGAACACTCGTGCCTAAATCGGCATGAAGTACCCCACTTGCATTGACCCTCGTTGTACGTCCAGCACAGGCCCTTCTTTTGTCCCGCTGGCACAGCCACGCCTGAGGCTGTCCCAGCTGCCCCGAGAAAGGGCGCAGCCTTCTGCGCCATCATAATCCTCATCCATAGCGGCAGGTCCATTTGGTCCCACCGCATGGTAGGGTTGGCCGCCAAGCGTTGCCGAAACTGCTCATCATATTTCCACCACGCTAGGCCCCCATACGTCCGATACGCATCGCCTATCCCATCCAAGTAGCAGAACAGTTGCGAACAGTTCCCTGGCCTTTTTTCCCCTATCACACTAGCCAGTATGCAGAACGCCCTCAGCCAATTCCCAAAAGTCTTCGGTATCTTGCGATACCTCCGCCTTTTTTCTTCTTCCTCCTTCTTGGCGTCCTTCTTATCCTCCTCCTTCAAGTCTAGGAATTCCTCCAAAGGGAGCAAAGAAAAAATTTCCATGAACTCCCCCTTCCAAATCTTTTCTTTGACCTCTAATTTCAGGTGACAACCTAGGGGGCCCGCAAAAGATATGTGTACGTTTTGACGTGCCGCGTCCGAAATGTCGCCACACCCGACCGCCGACTCAGCCCCCCCATCCGCCGCACCAGACGCCACTACCGCTTCGCTTACCTCGCCTCCGCTCGCCGGTTGGACCCCCGCCCTTATTGCCTTAACCGCCGTGTCAGGGGACCATACCTTACCGAACTGTAATGGTGATTCCCCCTTTCCTGACCATGCCTCCAATAGTGTTTTTAAATAGCCCAATAACTGTCCGGAGTGTTGTGCAGATATGGACTCACCGTTGGAGACCCCAGCCGTGCCAGGCCCCGGGGTTGCCGACCTTCCGTCCACCCGTTCAGGCTCCGGAGCATCCGGTTGACGCCGACTCCCATCCGCCTGATCCCTCCTCAGGACCGTAGGGGTAGCGCTCCGCGACCTGTAAGGAGAAGACAACCTGGGTAGTCTGTACTGCTGGGCCCCTACCCGTCCTTCCTCCCTACGCTCTTCTCTGCAATTCCAAGCTTCGCACCGCCTTGCCGGCCTAGCTTCCCTGCTCCTGGGGGCCCGCTGCTGTCCTAGCGCACTGTCACCCGAGGACCCAGATGCGCTGCGCCGCCTCCGCCCCCGCCCGTCCTTGGACGCGGACCTCCTTCTCCCCGCCCTGCAGCTGGTCCTGGAACCACTGCGCCTGCTATGCGATGGACTCCTGTCCCTGCTCCACTGCCGATCAGCTGACCTCCTGCTGCTGCCGGGCCTGGCGCCACCGCTGCGCCGCTCCCGTCTGTACTCCTCCCGCTCCCTGGTCCCGCTGCGGTGCCCCCCGTGAGAGCAGCCTGAGGGGCCCAACCTTCCACTGCTACTGCTCCTGACTTCCCTATCCCGCGCTGTACTGCGTGTGTCCCCTTTCTCCGCTGTACCTGGCCATCTGTTGGCCGCTGCGCCTGGCTCAGATGCCCCTTGCACCCCCTGGCAGCCCGCTGGAACCTCTGCCGCTCCCTGTCCGATCCTGCCGTCTTCCTGCCGCCCCTCCTCCCTATGCCTGGCACTGTCGCCCGTCCCGGCCACACCTAAGGCCGCCCGCGAGCTGGTCCCGCTGACCAGGCCACCCCTGGGTTGCTGGGGGGCCGCCTGCGCTGGAACATCCCGCGTCCCGCCCGCCCCCTGCCCCTCAGTGACCAGAGTAGACTCACCGGGACGCCTCACTGAAGTGCTGCCGACCACGTGTTCCTCCGCTCTCCCGGCCGCCATTCCCGCCGTGCTGGAGCCCTCCTCTGGGGTTCCTGTGCTGCCTGCCGCCATCTTGGATGGGGCGCGTTTACCAGCAGGCCCGCGCTTTGCGGCCGTCCTCGCCTGACCGGCACCGCGGCGCACCGGCGGCGCCGGCGCCGGCCGCTTCCCGGTGCTGTCCGACCCTCTTGCCTCCTGGCTGGGTGCCGACGGGCTCCTCCGCCGCCGTGGAGCGGGCGCCATGCCCGGACTCAAGCGCTGGGGCGGCCGTGCTCTTCGCGCCGTCCTGCGCTCCGCTGGAGCTGGAGGGGGAACTGCAGCCCCCAGTTGTTCATGCAGCCAGGCCAGCCCTCGGTCCTTCACTGCTGCTCTCACTCCTGCCAGGATCTCATCCAGGGAAGCCATGAACCTGCAGCAAAAGAAAAAGAGAAAAACCCCACAGACCTGACACAACTGACAGGTAAGTGAAGTTCTGATTAAAATGGCCACTCTCTAAGATGGCCGTTATTTCAACCCCCTTTGATCCCGCCCCCAAGCTCCATTAGCTTAAACCAACCCCTAACTGAATGCACCTGCCCACTCCTGGCTCTGTCAAGGCCCACTCCCCTTACTTCGTTGTTCCATGGGCTTCAAGACAGGGAATTGTCTGAAGGGGTTGGCATGAGACTCTTCAAAATACTTAAAGGGTTAATCTTAGCATCAAAGCCACTCTAGCTTGCTGTTGTGATTATGATGCATGGAGTACCCGGGCGCTGTTCCCTAGTATTGGAGTAAAACATTTTTAAACTGATTCTTTTACTTGGGTCATACTGGGTGTATATATTTGTTATCCAAATCTTTCCTTCTTCAACTTCTATTCACCCTTACGATCCCAAGTAATTAGCCCTTGGTTTAACAAATTATCTCCCAGTGTTCCTGTTTTTTAATTAGGTGTTTTTGCTGATGGCATGACTTTTCTACAGAGAATTCTTTAGGTCTTAAGAAACCATAGAAAGCTATGTATGCCGTGGACTTTAACCCTTTTAAGGACCAAACTTCTGGAATAAAGGGGAATCATGACATGTCACACATGTCATGTGTCCTTAAGGGGTTAAACATGAAAACAGAACCGTTTTAATTGACATATTCATATGTAATGAACATTGCATTGTATAACATAAGTGCATTAGAGGAGTATGCTATAACGTTTAGAACTGTATAAGAAAGCATTTGAGCGTACAGCGGTCACCTGAAAAGCTAATTAACATGCATATCTTATATAAAAATAAACATACTATGGATTTAAGAAAACTTCTGCAGGGTGAAGCCGAACAGTAATAATACCGTACTTTAAGAATTTGTGTAGACTTAACCGCCATAGATACTATGCAGATTGTTTAGTGAACAATAATAACATAGGAAATTTAAACATGAGATTAAAGGAACCATGCAAATTCAAACATGAAATGCAGTACTAATGAGAACAAGGCTGTGATCAGCTGAAACAAACGAATTGAACACTCATTGCCTTATGCAAGCGTATAGTAAGAGGTGATGAAACGTACGAAAGATTGCACGAACGCGGGTCTATACGAAAGGTAACAGTGTATGTATAAACGTTTATGCATGAGATTTTTTAAACGAATGGACACAGAGATTTATACGAATTGGAACATGAGAAAGCTTACAAAAGGACTGCACGTAACGCGGGTTTTACACGAAAGGTAGCAACGTATGAATGAATGGTAACACATGTATTTTAGCCAAACGGGCTTTAACAGAAACTGACGAATTGGTTCTATGTGAGTAAACGAAAGTTTATACGAATGCCTGTTTATTTTAAGTAAATTTAAACGAACATGTGTTCTAGTGAAAGTACAGGGGTGCGTTTGTATGAAAAGAGTATAACTTACAGTTAGCCATTCATGCACTGGCTTTCTAGTTATACTCATGAACACAGAACTGAAAGAAAGTTTTGGCGACAGACTGCCGGCGGGCGGGAAAATTATGTCACAGTCCAGTGAACTGGAAGTAAACAGGAGCACTTCCGAGATCGTAGCCGACAGGTAAGCAGGGGCTTACTGAGTTTAATTAGGGTACATAGTGCCTCCCACAATTACAGGCTAAGCCTTCTATATATACAGTGAGTGCAGAATTATTAGGCAAGTTGTATTTTTGAGGATTAATTTTATTATTGAACAACAACCATGTTCTCAATGAACCCAAAAAACTCATTAATATCAAAGCTGAATATTTTTGGAAGTAGTTTTTAGTTTGTTTTTAGTTATAGCTATGTTAGGGGGATATCTGTGTGTGCAGGTGACTATTACTGTGCATAATTATTAGGCAACTTAACAAAAAACAAATATATACCCATTTCAATTATTTATTATTACCAGTGAAACCAATATAACATCTCAACATTCACAAATATACATTTCTGACATTCAAAAACAAAACAAAAACAAATCAGTGACCAATATAGCCACCTTTCTTTGCAAGGACACTCAAAAGCCTGCCATCCATGGATTCTGTCAGTGTTTTGATCTGTTCACCATCAACATTGCGTGCAGCAGCAACCACAGCCTCCCAGACACTGTTCAGAGAGGTGTACTGTTTTCCCTCCTTGTAAATCTCACATTTGATGATGGACCACAGGTTCTCAATGGGGTTCAGATCAGGTGAACAAGGAGGCCATGTCATTAGATTTTCTTCTTTTATACCCTTTCTTGCCAGCCACGCTGTGGAGTACTTGGACGCGTGTGATGGAGCATTGTCCTGCATGAAAATCATGTTTTTCTTGAAGGATGCAGACTTCTTCCTGTACCACTGCTTGAAGAAGGTGTCTTCCAGGAACTGGCAGTAGGACTGGGAGTTGAGCTTGACTCCATCCTCAACCCGAAAAGGCCCCACAAGCTCATCTTTGATGATACCAGCCCAAACCAGTACTCCACCTCCACCTTGCTGGCGTCTGAGTCGGACTGGAGCTCTCTGCCCTTTACCAATCCAGCCACGGGCCCATCCATCTGGCCCATCAAGACTCACTCTCATTTCATCAGTCCATAAAACCTTAGAAAAATCAGTCTTGAGATATTTCTTGGCCCAGTCTTGACGTTTCAGCTTGTGTGTCTTGTTCAGTGGTGGTCGTCTTTCAGCCTTTCTTACCTTGGCCATGTCTCTGAGTATTGCACACCTTGTGCTTTTGGGCACTCCAGTGATGTTGCAGCTCTGAAATATGGCCAAACTGGTGGCAAGTGGCATCGTGGCAGCTGCACGCTTGACTTTTCTCAGTTCATGGGCAGTTATTTTGCGCCTTGGTTTTTCCACACGCTTCTTGCGACCCTGTTGACTATTTTGAATGAAACGCTTGATTGTTCGATGATCACGCTTCAGAAGCTTTGCAATTTTAAGAGTGCTGCATCCCTCTGCAAGATATCTCACTATTTTTGACTTTTCTGAGCCTGTCAAGTCCTTCTTTTGACCCATTTTGCCAAAGGAAAGGAAGTTGCCTAATAATTATGCACACCTGATATAGGGTGTTGATGTCATTAGACCACACCCCTTCTCATTACAGAGATGCACATCACCTAATATGCTTAATTGGTAGTAGGCTTTCGAGCCTATACAGCTTGGAGTAAGACAACATGCATAAAGAGGATGATGTGGTCAAAATACTCATTTGCCTAATAATTCTGCCCTCCCTGTATATATATATTTATTTATTAGGTGTTTATATATTACTCAATTATCTAGGGTGGCAACACATAGCCGTACATACTACATGTGACAATACATGGCGCTGTGACCTATGGGACTGGCATAGATTTTTTTCCAGGGCTGCTTTGTATCACCAGTCCGGCCCTGGATGACTGGATGGGGTTACCATGGTTCTGTTAAGGAACCCATGTTAAGGGTCTGTGCATAAGTGTGCAGTTTAACCAAGTCTTGGCTGATGTTTGGGTTAGCTGCTATGTACTAGTCCCCAAATGCTAGTCCTTGTCCAAAAATAAAGAACTGCATGATAGTTTCATTGGAAACTGTGTTTTCTGTCTGATTTATTCTGGGATCTCAGTCTTTGGACATGTTGGCTGGTTGCTTGGTCCCTAGATCCAGGGGAGGGCTGGCAGCCTTAGGCCTGGGGGGCAAAACCAGTCAAGTGGCCCTTTGCACCACCAAATCAGTGCAATGGTGCCCACCTTTTCCTGGTTTTATAACGGATATTGATGTTATGCTAATCAGTAGCTATTTGCCATACCCGCTCCTTCACGGCTCTGACTTTCAATGTTGTCAGAGCGCAGGCTGAGAATCTCTGAGCCTGTGCACTGACTCACTAACTGAGCGCCGGAACCACGAGGGAGATGCTATAATCTGACTGCACCTACTGCTGGTGCGCACCAGTGGACCACCAGCGAATCGTTTAAACTGAATATGCTGGTGTCCCCAACTTGTGAGCTGTGTTGTCCGCGGGGCGCCTCTATTGTGATGGCACCCTGCGTGACCGCATAGCGTGCACACCCCAACGGCTGGCCCTGCTGACACACACTGATGTTACTACTTAGAAATCCCTCAATATTAATACAGACATCAGAGTAAACACCAATAAACTGTGGAAAGAGAGCTGATCCCACCCAAATTTATAAAGATTTGCTTACTGGATTTGTTGTAAGATTAAATCATGCCTCCTCCTCTCTCTCTTCCATGCGCTGCTCTGTAAGCTGGGAGGAAGTGAAGAGTAATCACAATCTCCCAGCACAGTGGCACCTGTGGCTGCATGGGGAACAGCTATATTTGCCGCCCCCCGTGTGACATCACAATCCCCCACCTATATGAGCTGCCATACGAACTAACGCCAGTGCTGCCCACAGTGTGTGTTTACATTAAAAATCCTGCAGGGACCGGCTATAGACACCAGAACCACTTCATTAAACTCCAGTCGTTCTGGGGACTATAGTGTCCCTTTAATGTAATGTAAATTATAGATTAGTGTCACTAATAATAGACTAGATTGCCTACTTACAACCAAATGAGGATGATGATGGGCTGCAGTTTGGCTCCACTGGTATGGTGTAGAACAGGATCTCTGGAGGCTGTTTGCAACTGTGGTCACAAAATTCAATGTTCTGGGAGAATTGGAAGCAGCTCCATTTTTGGGGGGCCCCTTACACAGCTCAAGGTCTGGGCCCCAGGGCCTGACGGTGAGTATGCCCACAAGGCCCACTCATAAGTCCACTTATATGTTCCACCCACCCATGAGTTCGCTCACAGGGAGTGGAGTGTGTAGGGGATGTGTCATGTGTTATTGTAGAGGATCTAATATGTGTGCTTATGGTATGTAGTGTATAGGGATACCAGTTTGTGCAGGTGATGCAGTGTGTTTGTGTGTAGTGGAAGCAGTGTGTATTTGTGTATAAGGGATGTATTGTGTGTTTCTGGTTGTGTGTAAGGGATGCATTGTGTGAATCTGTGTTTGTATGCATAAGGGATGCAAGGTGTGTGTCTGTAATTGTGTGCATTGAGTGTGTGTTAGTGATGCATTGTGTTTCTGTGTGTATGTAAGAAAAGCAGTGTGTGTGTGTGTTTGCATTATGTGTTTCTGTGTATGTGTGCAAAGGATGCATTGTCTTTGTGTGTAAGTGTTGCATTGTGTGTGTGTAATGGATGCATTGTGTGTTTCTCTGTGTGTAAGGGAAGCATGTTGTGTTTCTGTGTATGTATAGGGATGCATTGTGGGTGTGTGTGCGCGTAGTGTCCTCTCCTCCCTGTGTCCTCCTCACCTCCCCCTCCCTGTGTTCTTCTCAGTCCCCCCTTCTCCTCACTCTTACTCCCCCTCCTCCTCCTTCTGTTACTCCCCCCATCTTTACCCCCCTTCACTTTCCTCCCCTTCTTTCTCCCCATCTTCACTTACTCCCCCATCTTCACTTACTTCCCCCTTCATTTACACCCCCATCTTCCACTTACACTTACATCCCCTATCTTCACTTACTCCCCCTCCTTCACTTACTCCCCCCACCATCTTCCGCCTCCCCATCTTCACTTACTCCCCTTTCTTCACTTACACCCCATCCTTCATTTACACCTCCCTCCTTCATTAACACCCCCCTATCTTCATACACCCCTATCTTCACTTATCTCCCCTCCTTCACTTACTCCCCCAATCTTCACTTACACACCTATCTTCGCCTCCCCCCCTCCTTCACTTACTCCCCCATCACTTGCTCCCCCATCTTCACTTACTCCCCCCGCTTTTATTCCGCCCTCTTTAATCTTCACTTACACCCCATCCTTCATTGTAACACCCCTCCTTCATTAACACCCCCATCTTCACTTACTCTTCCCC